AAGGGCGCGTTCACACCTCGACGGAAAAGCAGAAAGCGGAAAAGCAACAGCCAATCAGAACTCATTTCTGGTAGTCGACAATTTCGGTGTCTTTTGTCCTACTTACTACCAGCGCGAGTTCTGATTGACCATTGACTTTTCCGCTTTCTGCTTTTCCGCCAAGGTGTGAACGCGCCCTAAGATGCAGCGTGACCCCGAGCGGTGAGATATACATCTCGCGTAAATATCTGCTGCCGTCGTATATCTCCGTTAACACGCGGATCGTGAATCGCGTACCGGTTATCGGTCCCTCCTGGAGCTGCGCCTTCGCGAGTGAACTTTCCCAGCGGAGAGAACAGAGAGGGAAACGCCGAACTGCCGATGCCGCCGCACCGGCACGACGGTCTTGGTATCAGCGACCAACGATCCCATTTTTAGCGGCTGAATTAGAAAGTGCGAGGACAGAGAACCTATATTTACAGTGTGTACCGACTAAGCTGTGCAAGATCAAATCGCTGGTCGTTGTCGCGAACCGGCGTTAGATTCTAGGCGAAGTAATTTCACTTCCAGGACATTTTTATTCGGAACTTAATCGACCGTCGCGTGGATTGTTGGACAAAGACCGATTGTCGACTGTCACGATTAATCTTCCTGCTGACGTCAAAATCTATGACACAGTTAATGACGTTATACTCTAAAAGTAGGTGTAGATTTAACACTCAATTCTCAAAACACACCAACATGGTGTGGATTTGATACTATGAGTTTTAAATCATGATGTTAAATTCATGTTAAAATATAAGTGTGGACAACACCATGCTGGTGTTTATATAATTCTTATCGTACAATTAATGTTAGTACAAACATCAACACAGTGTTGACTTAACCATAAATTTTAAACTATATGTTAAATCGTCATTAATATGTTTATATTAACATGATGAAAATTACATAAACACCACATGATTTTTATTCCATTTACATTCCATTTCTTACAATGTGATTTTCTGCAACCTATTTAATTTCAAGGAACCAGAATGGCAATTCGTATTAAAAAGAATTAATATATTTAATAATAAATATATTTTAATAAGAATAATCAAAAATTTTGTGTAACATGCAGAAAATTAAATTGTTTCACATCAAATAAGAGCTTTTCGAGCTCGGCTTGTATTTGTGTGACTGTACTCGTATTATTAATATCAAATATTACATAACACACAATATAATATAATTTCAAACATTTCGACCTTTCATGTGATCCTTCTCAATGAATAAATTTAATAAATAATGAATGAATTGTTTGACATTTTTGTTAGAAATATAATTGAGTGGTTTCACTAGACTGTTATAACTCCGAAGGGTTAAACATTCGTGCGGCTACCGTGTTCGAATTCTACGAGGGCTCGGCCCATCGGATTATTCTGAAACGTACACGTGTCCAAAACACGCATAGAGAACCTACCAGAGAAGCTTCGAGAAACTGCCATTGTTATGCCGAAACGGTGGGGACAGGGAGAGGTAGAAACGTACGAAGGGGGGAATTATTCCCATCTTCATTTAGCCTCCGGCTAAATCGATTGCGCTTCCCATCTCCGCTGGGCACAAAAGTTCGGTCCTCCTCTGTAATCGTGGCACCCCTGTGGAATCCCGGGATTTCCCCCTCTCCCTTGCGTGTATTATTACACAGGGGAAGTACCCCATGCGATATTCGAGAGCCCGAGGGAATGTTCGGCCAAAAAGGGATGATGAAATAGCAATTCTCAATAATATTTCTCTCCCGCTTAATTATTATCCCATCATTTTTACGATTAACACGATATTTGAGTTTCTATTTTGAGGTCGAGATAGCGCAGACCGAATTATCGTGATCGCCACATAAAAACGCATTAAACGCCGGTAATTTTACGATGCGTTGGAAATAGCTAGGGATACGTCAACATCTATCAGGTGATAATTATAACGATACGCGAGCATTATTTTAAACCATCGACTAATGAGAGTATGGTTATTCATAAAAGCGATGTATCTCGATGAATGCAAAGCTCCCCTGGTTACGCAGCGTGAGACTCTTTTTCATAACAGTTCCATTATCTTTTTTTTTCCCTTTTTCAACGAACTTCGAACCGCGTCGACATCAAATGTCGATTGCGCGACGTATACGCACTCGTGAAAGTACAAAAAGCAATTAAGATAGAACGCAATATGCACAATAAGCGAAGGAAATTACTTAATGACGAATCCTCACTGTGTATATACGAAAAGAATGGCTTGTTGAAGCATGTAAACATTTAGTTAGATGTGTAAATTGTGTAAATAATTATGTCGGATCATCAAAATATACACAGTGAGTGTAAAAAGTAATTCGTACAGAGAAAATATTTAAAAAAAAAACTTTATTTTTAAAAAGTAAATATTATCCAGCGAGAAATGAATCATCGAATTGATGTCGATCGATACGCTGATTTTATCACCAATTCGATTCGATGTTTGATTGATCATTTCTTACTGGGTAATTAACAATTGTCCATAGATAATAAAATAGACTGTATGTTTCTTAAAATTATATATACTAAAAAGATATGTATTAATTATAGAAAATGTATCATCTGAAAAATAAGCGAAAATAAAAAATTCTTGTTTGGATGCTCAAAAAGTACAGTCGAGATATTTAATTTTTAAAATCAGGAATACATGCGAAGCTCGTTTGTTTATGTTAGAACAGAATATATTCATTGTATAAAATTGCTAATTAAAGAAGCGTCGAGTAGCTCCGTGGTCGGTTCGCGAATTTACAATTCGCGGATCCGAGTTTCGATTCCGCTTGCGTCTCACATATGTGTTTGTTTTCCTGTTCCCAAAAAGTTAATAACTTGTTTTATATATACATATATATATATATATAAATCGCACTGCAAATATAAATTTTGCACATAGCGAACAAAACCGCAAACTCGTGGGTGGAATCGAACTCGGGATCTTTAGATTCTGAGTCAATCCACCTCAGCGAGTAGCTAAAACCCACAATTTGTACTATCAAATATGGCAGTAAAGTAAAAATTCAGTAGATTCTGAAAAAAAATTATAAATATAATATTTATAATTGTATATATTTTTTACAAATAGACTTTATAAAAAATTTCCTTATACAAATACTTTTTGCTCTTACTGTATATATTAGACGTTTAAACTGATTGCTAAAATGTTAAAATTTTTAGTTTGTCTTATTATACATATACTTCATGTAAAAAGTTCGGAAATGCTTAAAAAATTGACGTTTTTGGGATTACTTATTCAAATATCTGTAACAAAATGTATTTTTTTATAATAATTCTATAAATTCAATAACGACAATAATTATTAAATTTGAAGAATTATTGTTAAAAAAAACACATTGTTATGAATATTTAAGTAGATAAGTAATCTCAAGATAAGTAATATTTTTTACAATTTTTAAAAAGCATTTCGAAACTTTTGGCCTGGAGTGTAATTATTTTGATGGTTCAAACATAATTATTTTCAGTATTTAGTTAAATTTTAGATATTTTAGCAAATATTTCAGTAAAATCGTTTTTTCTGTGTACCATATTAATTTTTTTATTAATTCCTATTATACTTTTATTACAACATGTGTGATAGATTTAAAAACGTTATACATCCGGTGATGAAAATTATCGTTAGTGTGGTAACGAGCGGTGAACTCTCGAGAGAATGACTAACAGTCGCGTCGCGCGATGATACCGCAGGCGTCGATAAGCTTGCAATAATAATAAACGACGATAACGCGAAACGCGAGTCCGTCACGTGTGGTAGGCCACGATCACTTTGTCCGCAAATAAACATGCTTGTTGCGCAACCACGTCTTCAGAGATGCTCCGTTTTACGACGTATATGCATATTCACGCTGAAAAATTACTTAACTATTTTTAGATCGCACCGTCTTTGTCTCGTCATTGGGTCAGTCTTCGTTCATGTTAATCGTATGAAAAATAGGCGAATTAGATTAACAGTAGTTTCAAGTGCTGTCCGCACTTGTGAAATATGAACTTATTCATGTCCATTAATGGAAATCCGTTAAAATCGTTAATGAAAGTTTTCATACGGAAAGGACGGTTTTGCTGAAACATCTGAAAATTTAGCTAGATACAGATCTGAAAATAATATTTCATTGGATCATCAAAATAATTATAAAGGACATCAAACTGATTGTGCTAGAATGTGCTGAAATTTGTTTGCTTCATTGCTCATTTGCTTAAGGAGTTTTTACGTGATTATTTTTATACCAAAGAATGATAAAAATTTAGCGCTAGATATAGAAATTTGAAAATAGTTTTGTTGAATCATAAAAATAATTATGGAAGACATCAAATGATTAGAACGTCAAAACTTTTTATTCGTCACGCTTGGAGTTTTCTTATAATTATTTTTATGCAACAAAATTATTTTCAGATCTGTATTTGATTAAAGTTTTATACGAAAAGAACGATTTTGCTGAAGTATCTATAAAACTTTTAGAGGTTTGAAAATAATTTTTGTTTGAATCATTAAGATAATTTGCAGCATCGTTCATCGTGCTAAAGCTTTTCTTCTACATAATTATTCTACATAACATTCGAACAAAATTATTTTCAGATCTCTAATTAAATTTTTAAAAACTTCAACAAAATCATTATTTTTTTTTGTGCATTAAAGCTTACTCTACAATGTGTTCTTTGTTTCCTGTTTCTTATTTTTTACCTTTTGCTTTTTTCTCCTTTGCATTTTATCAACAATTGTATTTTTTGCTACGTATTATTCTTTTCAAAGTTCGTCAACTTTTACTTCAGACGATATATAAAACAAAAAACCTATAAGATAAGAAGAAAAAAGACAAGATGTGAAAAAATAACAACAAAAGGCGAGAAATAGGAAACAAAAAGCACAGGCTTTCGTAGAACAGGCTTAAAATCCATCCGCGGAAAAAAAGATGGAATTGATCAACGAATTGACAATATTTAACAATGAACAATGATATGTTTCAGGCGATGGGACTTGCCGGGATGTAGCTTCGACAGGAGAATCTATGAGCGCGGTGCAGGCTCGTCAGGAGGAGGCGAGACGCAAGAGGCGCAGGAAGAGACGCTCCGGCTCCTCTGTGGTGTCCTCCTGCTTCCAAGGTAAATTCGCACATATCGGCGCTAAAACATAAGAGAGGGTGTGGTGTTGTCACGCGAAGAAATTGCGCGACGGTCCGGATTTTGTCGCAAGAAGGGGAAGGGGGAGAGAGAAGATATTAAACAAAGAATTTCTTGGGCCCTGTAAATATGATTACGCAACAGAGAATAAATGCCTTTCACCATCAAGGTGGATCTTAATTGCTGAAATGATTCGATATGTGAATTTATATACTACATGTGCAATCATTTAAATTGCTCGTCAAAGGAAACGAGATAAAATGAAGAGAGTAAGCGAGAGGGTGCGGGATAGAACGGCGATTCTCGATTTTTTGCGGGACAACGCGATGTATTATTTCATGTACCTACGCATCCCGCAGCTCGCTCTTTCTATCTATCTGTCTGTCTGTCTGTCTTAAACCAGTGACTTGCAGTCTTTCTTCGTAGGTCCGACCTTGAACAAGTTCGGAACGCTCGAGAAACTCACGCGGGACGGTAATCGATCGCGCAGGCGGCCTGGAATTTTGCGCGCCGCTTGTTTATAAACACCGGAAGTCCGCTCTTACTTCTCCCTCGACGTGCCGGGTATCTCTAAGAGAATAGACCGAAGTAGAACAATGGCAGGATCCTCTTTCTTTTTCTCGGGAGAATCTTGAGTGGATTTCTTTTCTGCTTACGTGTCTATATCATGCGCACGCCGTTCCATTTGTACTGCTGACGTAATCGAGTGAAGAAACGTCGGTATTTGCGATCCTTGGAATAACTTACGCATAGAGGCGGTTTTTGCACCCCCTAGCTGGTAAACTGGTTGAGAGATGCGAAGAACGCCGGGATCGGAATTAATCCGAGCTGGCTGCGCAGCTGGCTGGCATTGCTGGCAAATACGGTTATTCGGCCACGGAGGCTCGATCGATACGACGCGCGGCCCACCAGGGAGCCATGAATTCGTTGTACGTGTTTTCGGCACGGCAGCCTCGCTCGACCCTCGAACTCGAGGACGTTTCATATTTTAGCATCGTAATTTGTAAATAATGTATTATACAATTATTCATCAGCTATTGTCTCTGGGTTAATTGATCAATATTAATATCGTGACACAGAATAATTAATTTTTTAAAGAGACTTAATTTGTTGGAATGTTCCTTTTCATTTTTAATTTTGTTCGATGACTAGCGTGAATAATTTTGATAAATATCTATATATAGATATAATATGATTAGAATTAAAGAAGTTAATGTTAGATATAGATTTTTTATTTTTATTTTTTATTTTATTTTATTTTTTTTTTTTAAGTAGTACATTGTACAGAAGTAATGTTATTAAAATATATACGAGAAAAAATATTGTTGAAATTGTTTACGAAATTTTGGAAATTTTATTTTTACTCTTGCCAGACGAGCGTACATTTATTTACGTTTCAGCAATTGCATGAAATGTAAATAAATAAACATTTATCTTTGATGAAAGGAATTAATGCGATCTGTAACATTTCCTAAATTATTTCACTACTTTCGCACGTATGTTATTCTATTCTTTAAGAAATATTTATGTAACTTTAATTTCTTTAATTCTAATAAATTATACTTTATATTTTTTAAAATTTTTCGTACAATTATCCGCATTAATGACCGGATGTTAACGAAGATGTACGATTAAAAATTGATCATTGTTACGCCATTAAGAAATATTGATCACTTTAAATAAACAAGAATCAAGTTCACAATCTCGGCCGGTTGCGTCATTCCACGTGATCGATTCGCGAGCTCGGCTCAGCTTCGAGAAGCTTCCACTGTGCTCTGAAATCGTATATACCATCGGCGTATCACTAAAAGTCGACATTTGGCCGAGTCCGCCGAACTTGTACACGAAGGGTGCTTTCCTTTTAGTGACACAAATCGAAACAAATGTTTTATTTTTGTTCCTCATTGATACACCAATAAAGATAGAAGATATTTCTGTTACTAATGTCCGTTTCTATCAATGTAATTTAATTTTAATCTTGGTTCATCTGACTTTATTTTCTTTGATTCTAAGACTTAGAAAAAGATATGACTATATGAGTAAGTTAAATTGAGATTATTTGGTAGAGCAGAGTTGGTAAAGACTGTTTTTTTTTTTTTAAGAATAAAACGTATTGTGTTTTTTCTTAAATATTTTTAATGCTTCAAATATGCTTTAAACAGTACTATAAAGAAACATATTTAAAACATAATAAAAATCAATTAAGCATGTTTTAAACTGTTTAAAACACGTTTAAAACATGTTTTTTTACCAACCCTGGTTGGTAGAAACGGAGATAAGTGGAAAACATCCAATATGTCATTGGACATCATCTAAATTCATTATCAGGCATTTCCAATTTCCTCAAAGACGCTTTGCGATTGCGTCGTTATCATCCTTAGTTTGCGATATTATTGTTCTCGGATCTCTAATTGCGAGTGGGTCGATGATCGCGCAATTTTCGAGGCGCTATTTTCGAGAGGGCCGCTGTTAAAATTGGCACAGAACGACGTAGAGAGACGTGGAGGCATATTATCGGCTTCTGGTTGCTAGGCGCTGAGCGACGCTGCCATGCGCGCGTATTCTGACGTATAATATCGGAGCGATGAGGAGGTGGGATGGGTGGGTGGCGAGGGACGCGGTATAACGCTCGAGAGGCGGACGGCGGTAGGGATGGACCAGGGAGAGACGCGCGAGGTAGAGCTCGACGTTGTTGGAGGAAAGGAGCCGGCGACGTAGCCTGGCGCGCGGACTTCCGAGAGAGAAGGAAAATTCGGTGTATGTGCGTCGTAGTTCCTCGCTACGATCTCGGCCACCCCCTCTCGACCTTGACATTGCCTGGTCGTTAGAGCAGGACGCACACACACACACACACACATACACACATACACGCTGAACACCGCACGTACGAGATCCAGAGCCTGTTTAAATCAGAGATAATTGGGCCTTTTCGAGCGTAACAGGCAATCGCGATCAAACACGATACGCATCATCAAAAAGGTCAACGTGTGTGCGTTCCTCCTTCAATGACTCGCAGAGAGTCCGAGATGATACAAATATTCTGGTGTTCGTCGCGACACACAGAAAAGTATATCCTGTTGTACGCAAGTAATAATTATTACTTCTCTGAAAAATCCGTTTAGTTGAATCAATTAAGCTCTTCTTTCACAAACAGATTCTTGGTTGATGTAATATAAAATAACTTAGTTCAAACATCTGAGAAACTTATTTTGTTAGGAGCAAGTAAAATATTGCAATAATCAAATGTTTTATTTCGATTAAATTATTTTATTGCACCATTCAAGGATTTGTTTGTCCAAACTGGAAATTAATTGATTCAATTAAATGGGTTTCTCAGTGTTGTTTCAAGTATTTTAAAAATTCATGTATTCTAATTTCTCACTAAAAAAAGCTTATGAAAAGCATCAAATTTATTCAATATATATTCTGAAAATTCTAGTAAGTTTAATTATACTTCAATCAAGACTATTAAAACAAATCCGACTTATTTTTATTGTAAAAATCGCTTTTCCGAACAATTTTATAATATTCTTCAAAAGAAAATAAATTCTTGTTTTGATGAATACACAATGAGTTTAAAATTTGTAATAAGTATATTTTAAGATTCTTGTCAAGAAAGTATTCTTTAAAGATAATCGTTACTTAAAAGGAAGAAAATAAATTAAGTAATTACTTTTCTTAGTAATAGATTGATATTTTTCTGCATGAAGGCTACACTCTAGTAGTACATACATTTATGTATTTTTTTAATACACAGAAGAGTTTTTATTAATTAAAAATCATATGGTGAGTGGTATCATGAAATTTTTTCAAACTTACAGCGTGATATTATTGTCTATTATATTTATAATAATTTATTGTGAGGAGAGAATCCATTAAGTCACCTAGTTTTGAAATAAACTCCTGTTGCCTCAATACACTTAGGCTTGTGATGAACATATGATAGATTTGTGGATATAACGAACTTTTGAAATACTTGAAACAAGTGGCTATTAGGCATATACTATTTTTCTGTGTGTAGTAATAAAATTTGTCTTGCAGGGATTCCGGTTAGCGCGACCAATCGAACTGAAGGAAAAAAAAGGGTGTCTCGACTATTTCGTCGCCAATGACGCCGATCACGTCGCGGAGGAAAAGCGTTTCTAACGCGCTGCTCTCGAGCGCTTCGATCGATTCGTTCTCGGTGTTAGGTCCCTTCTTGCCATTGCAATGACAACGCGATATGGTACAACGTAATCGCCAATCGCGCGTGCTCATAGAGAGCGACGCGCAATTCCATGCCGAATGAAGTATCACGCGGTCTGTCGCATTGATTCATCGCGGTGAATCTATACGCTCGCGGATTCGAGAAGTTATAATGCCTTTTGCTTCGATGAATTTGAAAGTTTCGCAAGCTTTGGATACATAAGTGTATGTTTGATTCCAGAAATGCCTTAACGTTACCGCAAATATCTGAGCACTTAGTAGAGATGTTTGTACATCTCGAAATTATACGTCCGGCGAGCATGCAAATGTTTGAACGCGTAAAAGATTAAGGATAAGAATAAAAGGTTATTAGCGGATCACATAATAGTTTAATTAACAGATAAAAGTATGGTTTTAGATCTTTTAATAATTTAATCTAGAGATACAATGGATAATGATTTGTCAGATAACTGATATCGGATCTTATCCGATAAAGTATATATTTAATCTTAGCTACGAGTATGAAACAAAATTTGACGTAAACATTTTATATCTGATGAAAAATAAATTAAAAATAGTTTTATTAAAAAATAATGTTAATTTTTATAACTCTTTCAATACTTATTTTTAGTCCTCCTTTGATTTTTATTACTGGCAGTTCATATTTTTTTTAGGAAATTGAGAATGCTTTATACTCATACCTAAGGCTATATTTTTATTTTATTCGGGAGTGCTTAATATGAATAACAAAACATTCATGCGGCTTACGACACTTGCTAGATTAGTAGATGTGTGAAGTGTGTGTGAGAGTGTAAGATGTGTGGAATTGTCGAGTACTTTCAGTTTTTCATTTTCCTCCGTTCTTCTGTCGAAGAGTATGATGTGTCGATCGAAGAATTAATCTAAGAAATGAGTATATAAAGAAGAACTGACGTTGCTGTTACAGAACTGTACAAATTGACTGGAGAAGTTCTTGGGGAGGGTGCCTACGCCTCGGTCCAGACCTGTACATCTCTTTACACGGACCTCGAATATGCTGTGAAGATCATTGACAAGATCCCCGGACACGCGCGTGCCAGGGTGTTTAAGGAAGTCGAAACGTTTCACCATTGCCAGGGCCATCCGAACATCATACAGCTAATCGAGTTCTTTGAGGACGAGGAAAAATTCTATCTTGTGTTTGAGAAGATCAACGGTGGCCAGCTATTGAACAGGATTCAGGAACGGATTCACTTCACTGAGAGGGAGGCGAGCCAGATTGTCAAAGAGATTGCGAGTGCGCTTGACTTCCTTCATAAGAAAGGTAATTTCGACGAGGCGGGGAGGAATAATCGCATGAATTCATATAATTGATAAAAATCGATAAAAAAATGACCAATGATCTTTAGAATATATATATCATTGATTATTTTTTTATCGATTTTTATCAATTATATGAATTCGTGCGATTATTTATATAGTTTGTTATTCTCGAAACAGGATACAATTCACTTCTTATATTTTTTTTAATACTCTCTCTCTCTCTCTCTCATAACCTTTAATTTTTCAATTAACCTCTTGTAAATAAAAGTATATATAGAAGGGTATCGGAATCAATTCAGAATCAATCACTTACGAGTTGACTACTCTCAGATGCATGCGTCATATAGAAATATAAGAATAATTTTATATAAGATAAGAATTATTAGGAATTGGTCATAATCTTTATATCTTATATATTTTGTTGTGTGTTCAGGTATTGCTCATAGAGATCTCAAGCCCGAGAACCTCCTGTGCGTATATCCGGACAAGTTGACGCCAATCAAGGTATGTGACTTCGATCTTGGATCGGGTATCAAGTTCAACAACTCGCTGTCTAGTCCTGTGGCAACGCCGCAACTTTTGACACCGGTGGGCAGCGCCGAGTTTATGGCGCCGGAAGTGGTTGAGGCTTTCATCGGCGAGGCCAATTATTACGACAAACGTTGCGATCTCTGGAGTCTCGGTGTTATTATGTACATTCTGCTCTGCGGTTATCCGCCCTTCTATGGAAACTGCGGCACCGATTGCGGTTGGAGTAGGGGAGAAAATTGTCAGGCCTGTCAAGAGTTGCTCTTCACCAGTATTCAGGAGGGCAGATACGAGTTTCCCGACAAGGAGTGGAGATGCATCTCCGAGGATGCGAAAGATTTGATCAGAGGCTTGCTCGTTAAGGAGGCCCACCAGAGGCTCAGCGCCGATAGTATTTTGAAACATCCCTGGATTAATCCCGGGCCGACCTCCGTCGAAACTGGTGATCGATCACTTACCACGCCTCATATCATAAGGTGAATATCTACCTGAGTGTGTGATTACTTCTTTTACGTTTTTGTTTTTTTTTTTATTATTGCATAACATGTTCGTTAATGTTTATCTCCAGGAGGAACAACTCCGCTAGAGAACTCTCAGCATTCGCTGAATCCGCAATGGCTGTGAATCGCGTGGTACTTCAACATTTCTCTCTAAATCTCGAGGAGCTGGCGGAGAACCGGGAGCCCAGACTATCCACATCGTCAACCGATGACGATAATCATCCGTACGGTCACATGTCCGATTCCAGCAGCGAATTATCTGAGAACAGCAAGCACTTGACGACGCATTCATCCAGCGAGTTTGATGGCACGCGACCAAAATCCTGCTCTGTACGCTCCAGCGTTGATTTGAACGATCCCAAAATCATCGGAAAGAATCGCGTCATCGGTAAGGACTCGCTGCAGAATTGGTTTGGGCTATCACCGCCGACCGAGAGTCGTCTGATGCAACGCCGTTTGAAGGCACGCTCAGACCTGCTCGAACGTCAAACCGGCAAAGCGGTAATTGCGTCTCCGAGTGGCTGAGAGGTCGCTGTAGAACCGATCACTTTTTCTCGCTACAGTATCACTTGTCTCTTTGTAGCTACGTGAAAACGCAAACGATGTACAATACCTTTTCCAATGGCTTAGGAAGCTAATGTAGCATGTAAGTCGAGTCTCTGATTCTGCGCGGATAATGAGAACAGGCTCAATCATTTACGATAGTGACGACAGCGATAATAATCGAAAAGTATTCGCCGCGAAAATAATCGAACAGAATATTGTCGTTATCTTCTTTTTTTCGATAGTCCTAAGCTTCTTTTGTTTTAAACCTTTCCTTTTAACAGGCAGTTGGATGATAACCAGATTGTTTTTATTTCCAAATGTAAGATTTCTTCACTCTTAAAATTAATTATATATATATTAATTGATAACGCGATAGTTATGACTTTAAATAATGTAACTATTAAATTAATGTTTGAAGAAAAATGTAAAGTATAATATAAGAAATTTGTATAGAGATTTTTGTTTAGAGTGTAAATTGTAATCGTAATATAATGGTATATGCGCTGCAAACGCATTGTGAAGTGTACCCTGCTGCGGGTACAAAGACGATATTTATCATAATCGAAGCAGGAGGAAAGATAATATACCACAGTTTGACTTCAATCATCGACGTTGCGCCTCCGTGCGCGAGTAATTCCTTTGTCATATTTCATGGAAATAAAAGCAAGTCTGATTTCTCATCGAACGCTGTTAATCGCGCTGCGTGTAATTATTCACGCAGCCGTATGTTGTATATTGTACAGAGATAGCTACACAACACGCGCATCGAACATTGTATCATCATTTGCAGAATATGAATATGAATTTACATACATACTGATATACATTTGAATATTTCGTTCATTCGCACGTTTGACATCGTGTTGTGCAAGTGAATCAACATTGTGGATAAGCATCCCGAGCATGATTCGGAACAGTACGTTGATGTGTCAGTTGACACGATCTTATTTTTTTGCGTAGTAGTGTGTATGTTAAGACACATGCGCGCGTTTGTGTATAGAGTCTGGAAGGAAAGAAGAAGAAGAAGAAGAAGAAGAAGAAGAAAAGGAAAGTAAAGACCCTCGTGATCGTGATAGTTCGTGCGCTGCTGAACGTACGAATGTCCTATTACGTAAATATTATTTTTATTTTTTTTGTTTGCTGAATTCTTTAAATTCGAAAAAGAAGAACAGAAAACGATCGACAGACGCAACCGACGTAAGGCGAAAAAGATGTTCCTTTTACTGCTTTTTTGATATTGTTTCACATATGTTCGAGCTGTAATATATTCTCGAATCGGAGCAAACAGGGGTGAGCGTATCTCGGCCCACAGGTGCAGATTTGTTTGCTCATGTTAGATTAATAGAAACGCGATAGATCATAAGTCGGCAGATTTCAAAGCAACATTTGAATGATTAGAAGTTACGAAATTGGATAAAAAAGAGAAAATGGCTAGTTTGTTTAAAATTTCTCAGTTGTTAAATTACGGGATATCGTTTATTGATTTATGTGTTAAATGCGTTTTGTAGAGTTTTATCGACCAAAAATTGTTTTAATGTCAACCCATCCACGATAATGCTTTATATCTTCGTACAAATTATTATATTTTGTCTTTTCTATAAACTTTGTTCTATTATTATGCACGAATCTACAAAGCAGTTTGGTTCGAGTAAAAATAAATTATCGATATATTTCTTTCTTACTTTATCGTGTGTTTTAGATCAAAAAGAAAAAAAAATATATGAGAAAAATTTCTTTCATTCACATCTTGATGCGGTGGACAGATTTTACTCAGGGCAGCTGGGAGACCGCTGCGCACGTTATTCTATACTCGTACAATTTGAAAGCGATGAAGATGGAGAGAGAGAATGCGAAGAAGCTTATCTGTAAGATTTACAGAATGCGGTCCCTCTGGAATTAACGTTGGGGTTGTATTGGCATTTACTTTAGGATTCCGGTATCGTCCTTGTAGAAACGTGTAATTCCGGAGGGCTGCGAGAGCGTAACATGCGTTTGTACATTGTAATTGCATCATTGGAAATTTTCTTAGAGAGTCATTCGCTTGCTATAGGACATGGCGGATATGGCTTTTGTCAACCTCTGTCTTCTTTGTACTTTGTAAGTACCGGTAAGATAAAGATTTAAAGTTTATAGCGCGCGTGGATGAGATTATATGAGAATCCGTGTAAATAAAAAAAAGCTATGATGAGAGATACGGAAAGCAATATATATAATGCGAGCTCTCTTAAGAGGAAATATTGGAAGATTAATATATTTATCGACCTCTTTGCGCAAGGTTGAATAACTTTTTGCGTCATTCCTTAAGCTGTATAACACAAAATTATCTTTTTACCATAAAAAAAAAAGCTTATTTTTCTGCTTGTCTTTTTTAATTTGTCTTGCGCGAAGTTTCATACAGTGTAATCCACTTTACACATTAAGCAATTAAGCATGTACCGCTTGAAAAAGCTATAAAATTGTTTATTATCTCTTCTATCGAAAGGATTCCTGAAACGAAAGGATTTTTCTTGTGTCGATCGTGCGTTTTGGTAAAGTATCAATATAGGCTCGAATGTGAATGCTCTTTCTTTTTCTTAAAAAAAAAAAATAGAAAAGAAAAAGAATATATATTATAAGAGGATATGAAAGTGAGGTGCGTGAGGAAGTGTGTTCGTATGGAAAAAAAATATAAAAGGAAAAGAAAAAAATACAAATGGCCATAATACACAGATCTGTAAGCGTAACGAGTTTAAGATTGTATAATAGAGTGTGAGTATAAGTGCATGTGTACACGTGTGTATGGTGTGAGAATGTGTGTGTGCGTGTGTTTTTGGAAGCTTGAAAAGGAGAGGATGTGGAAGAAACTAATTGCTAGCCTTTAAGAGAAAACCCAACACCTTATCGTAAGATGTAGCGTAAGGTACCGCTGTGTCATACCGACCGATTGTCAGATTGTTTATTTTTATCTTTTTACAAGCTCATCTCTCCACATTGTACCGTTTCGGGAACGGCTCGACCTGATGCCCTTTCGTTCGCCCATTTTACGAGAGTTAGAGTGGCCAACGGTAATTGTTTTCGATCGCCGAAGATTGGAATTGTGATAATGCTTCTTGTGCAGTGGCTGGACCATAATATTGGACTTCGGTATAGCGCAGCGGTCGATTGTATTGTACATGCGAAACGCGGACATCATCATTCTCATTTTCTTCCCTATAGTACACAGTAAGCGTTGTAAATCCTTTTGCCGAGTGGCAGTTAACGAGAGAGAATGTAACCGTTAAGAGGATTAAGATGGGAGACGTTGGTGTTGTTTTCGCGTCGTGCCAACGCTGTGGCGCGGTAAAAATCTACGAGGAACGAATCACGATGCGAGAAGAGCGGAGAAATTTTCGTTACACTTTTTCAAGAAAAAAAAAAGCGCGGAAAAAAACGAATAAAAAATAATCGTCATGTGTATATCGTCATATATATATATATATATACATATATATATACATATATATTTTAAGTGGTACGCATCCCGTTCCTCTCATCTTCTACTCGCACACTCTTCGTCGGGTTTTGTCCCGTCGTGAAATCCGCTTGTCAAGGTAGTACCCGCGCGGTTGACACATATCTTCACAAAGGAGGCGCGTCTTCTTTCTTTTTTTTTTTAAAGAAAAAAAAAGAAGCTTTGCATCATCAAGTGAACGACGAACGCCATCCTCCTTTTCACGGGAGAGAAATAAGAGAGATATTACGCTCGAAAATATGTCACCGGCGGTCTTTGATTTCGATGAAAATGTTCTGTTGGAATGTAAAAAAAAAAAAAAAAAGAAAAGAGTGTGCGGCTTGACAAGAGCTGATTTTCCATCACTTTTCTTATTCTTGTAATCGTAGTAGGTATATCGAGCGGTGACACAGCAAGAAAAAAAACTGGAGAATGTAAATAAGATTTATCTCGTAGCTTATAGTGCCTATATCCTAAAAGAACTAGATCGATAGGTAGTGCTCCCCAGTTTTCACTCTACCAATCTTCCCTCCCTTCCCCCACAAAACACAACGTATCTCCCCTCATATTTTCACGGCCTTCTAACCTGGTACCATTCCTTTCTCATCCGTTCCTTTCCTCTCTCCCTCGAAATTGAAACATTCCTCTCCGAATTAACCCCTCCTACCGGGTCCTGCAGATCCTCTCTCCTTTTTCCTGCGTCACTATCCTTACTTCCATGCGTCCAAAAAAAAAAAAAATTGTTATAAAACGAGAAAAATGGCCAAAAAATATTTTTTATTTTTCATACCCACTTATATGTAGAACATATACGATATATTTTTTTGACACGGTTGAGGAGACGGAGCTTGATTGCGAAGAAAGAAGGGAGCGGTCGTATCGCATTCCCGGGACCATTTCTCTTCAGATTCTGATAAAAAATATCTGGGAGAAACGTCGGGGGATACGATGGCCTCTCTTTTATTCCTTGCGTTTGGTGCGATATCTTACTGCTTAGTATTAGTGATTTTGTAAACCGAAATCGCTCTTCAGTTTTGTGAAAGAGTAAGAGAGAGAAAGAGAGAGTGTGAGAGCGAGCGAGCGAGCGAGAGAGAGAGAGAGAGAGAGAGAGAGAGAAAACGTTCGAGAACAAGGGCTGAAGTCCATTTAATAACGTGCTCACGTACAATTTTCAAAACTTTATTATACAAAAATATTTACGCTTTTTTCTTGAAAGGAAAAATATTAAATATAATTAAACCCCCGCAAGATTCTTTCTCATTTTATTGCAACAAGATTAATCATACGAATCGTTTAATTTTGATTTGAAACATTGTCGACAGCTTTTCGACGTTTGAGTATGGGCGATGTTGTCAGATTCTAAAAAAAAAAAAAGAAAAAAAAAGAAAAAAAAAAGAAAAGGGTACGTCGTGAGCACGTGAGGCGCTAATTTCTCGTACGTACTTTTATCCGTATTTTAAGTGGCGCGCGTTAGTAGCCTAGCGCGAGAAACATGTAAATGTTGAGACTGGATTATGAACGTACAAAAATACCTTATACCTGTAAACAAGACATGTTAATCACTTTGCGATTCGATCAACGCGTACGATCGTCCGAGGGAGCGAAAGAAACGCTCATGATGCGATTTTTTATTCGATCCACGTGCGACAATTCTAACGACTCGAACATTCGGTCCACGAATCTGATTGCAGACCTGCAATGGCGTGATTTGATGAAAATCTGATTTGTCATTAA